ACGTAAGTTTACTGCGAATTAGCTTCGCTAAGCGTTCACACGGAGAATTTAATGCGAATTAGTTTAATTCGAATTAATTTACTGTGCATTAAATTACTTCGCATTAGCTCCGTGTGAACGCTAAGCGAAGCTAATTCGAATTAAATTTTGACGCATGTGTAAGGCCAGAATTAAGTCACAGGACACGTGTTGGTGGTTATATATAGGTATTTGTGCTATATTTGGTTCAAAAATTGAGGGAAAGTATGTTAATCACTAAAATCAACGAATACCCAGGGATCGAAATTAACTTTTTTATCCACAGGCTAATTTTAGCCTGTACATATAAAATCTACAGGCTAAAATGAAGATCCACTAGCTAAAATTAAAAGAAGGATTAAATGTCTTTTTCATGCTCATTCAAATCAATAATAATACAGGGCCTTCTCTAGTGGGTCAGTACAGAATTAAGATCATCAATGTTTTTACATTAAAAAAAAAGGTAATCTGGCCTTTAAAAAAATAACATTAAAATATATTTATTCCTTTTAACATTCCAAAAAAAAAAAATCAATATGATCAAGGGTCGGTAAGTTGGGATTTTGTGCTACTGAATAATGGAGTCAAACATCCCGGACTTAATTAACCAGGTGTGATATTTACAGCGGGCACCTAACATGGCTTTCTAGCTGCAGAAAACGAACTTCAGAAAGTTATGGAAGAAATTATTTGATGTTATAAATAATGATTCCTCTTTTACCTAAGGTAAATTTTGACTAGGTTGACACATTTTATATGTCAAATAAAACTACAATGAAACATTTTTGTATAAATTGCATCAGCTGATTGAGATTTGGTAACACAATCAACCAAGGTTTACCGAATGCATTGCGACTCTGTTCAAATTTCAAAAAGCAAGACAAATTACCAGAAAAATATGGATACGAAAGTATTTGAGTGAAAAATCACCACTCGCTAAAAATTTCGAGTGTCTTCTATTTTTACTCGCTGTTTTAAAAATCAACTCGCATTTTGCGAGTATTTCTCGCTAATTTCGAACCCTGATACCTGTAGCCACTACATGATGTATCAAAGGATGGCTCTGCATACATGACGTGATTTACAAATGACGTCATAATAGACTTACTGACGCCTGACTGTAGAAGAAAAAATGTTAATTCACATTAGTTTACTTCGCATAAGCTGTCGTGTGAACGCAATTTAATTCACATTAATTTGATTCGCATTAGTTTACTTCGCATTAATTTACTGCGAATTAAACTCGTCGTGTGAACAGGGCATAAATAAGGACATACCACTGGTTCTGGGTTCTCTGATATAATTAATGACATACCACTGGTTCTGGTTTCTGATATAATTAATTCTGATATAATTAATGACATACCACTGGTTCTGGTTTCTGATATAATTAATGACATACCACTGGTTCTGGTTTCTGATATAATTAATGACATACCACTGGTTCTGGTCCCTGATATAATTAATGACATACCACTGATTCTGGTCCCTGATATAATTAATGACATACCACTGGTTCTGGTTTCTGATAGAATTAATGACATACCACTGGTTCTGGTCCCTGATATAATTAATGACATACCACTGGTTCTGGTCCCTGATATAATTAATGACATACCACTGGTTCTGGTCTCTGATATAATTAATGACATACCACTGGTTCTGGTCCCTGATATAATTAATGGCATACCACTGGTTCTGGTTTCTGATAAATTAATGACATACCACTGGTTCTGGTCTCTGATACTGAGGAAACAGACAGATAATGGTTCCCTAACATCCATGCTGCTGAGTTCTGGATGCCAATGTCATCTCCCACAGAAACGACCTGTGTCATCACCTGGATTACTTCATCAACATTCACATCACCCAAAGCCATAGACAAAGGCTCTGTGCTCTAAAAAAAGATAAATTTCAGTGTATAACCAGCTATAATTCACTAAATTCCCGTTTCCCTTTTAAATACAAAACAAATGTGAGAGAAAAAGACATAAAACCTGTAGACTGAGAATGCATGCAAAGAGGGATTGACCTTGACCTTTCACCATTTGACCTAATGATTAATGAGAATATCTTTCTTAATCTAGAGAGATCAACCACATTAAGATTTAATGCAATCTTAATTTGTCATCTGGAAAAATTTTTCTGAGATATAAAAGTTCCTGACCTTGATCTTAGACCCTTTCGCCACCAAATCAGAATACGAGTCGTATTCAATTGATATTCAAAACTCAAGAGGAACTTAAGTTATCTTTGATATGATATATGATTTTTTTATCTTTATCTTTGACCTCAAAATCAAAGAGACTCTTCTCTATAAAGTCAGAGGAAGTTATAATTAAAAAATAAAATTTCATTGCAAAGACATAAGACTTTTGGATAAATATATCATTCAAAATTTGATATGTAATACTCAGAAAGAATAACAGACTGAGAGACGGACAGATGGAGAGACCTCCTAGAAGCTGTGCTTCAAGCAAGACAGGACTGGTGAGAAAAAAATAAGTCGCCTTTAAAATAGAGAGCAATCATAAAAACAATTCTACATGTAAACACATTTTTATGGGTCAAACTTAAAGGTACAAGGAAAAATTATTGGTACATGGGGATTTGTTTTTGTAAGTGAAGAAGAGCTGATGTTATATATATGAAATTTTATGTTATAAAATATATTAAAAATCTTTAAATTTGTACTTTGAAAGCAAAGGAAATTAAACTGATCCATAAATATTAGTGAAATCACAGAAATGTCAGATAGGCACCTAGAGTAGTAATTAATTACAAATAAGGGGAAAAAATCAGTCATGTAAAAAAGAAAATTGTTAGATCCTCTTAAGGACAGACAAGACGTTCCTCATGATATATAATTTTTTCTAAGATTTTGTCATTAAAGAATTACTACTTTAACATGTTTACTCACAAAAAATTGAAGTACCTTACCAGGCATTTGTGCGAGATACCAGATGATGGCATTTCTTATATAATCCTTTAGGAAGAAAAAACGTAGTTTGCCAAAATCACATTTTTAGTGTTTCAAATATTAAAAAACAATTAGAAACAAATTTAGAAATCAGAAAGTAATTAAATTTTTGTATATTTTTCATAGATTATGAAGATATACAAAACAGAAATTTGGGGAAGGTATCATCTGACCTTAATTTGTACAGTTGAAATTTAGTACCTTGAAAACAATGATATCTCAAATACATGGATATGTCAAAATCATTTGAAAGTCCCAACCCGTATTCTTAAATTTTTTTTTACCCTGGATCATTTCTCGAATCCTTGTATATCTCGAAGTTTTTTTATCGGCCTCATTGAGTTCCAGATAAGGAGGTTTGACTGTATTTAATTTTTTCTTTAAATGCCTAGATTTTAATATTCAATATATAACTATGAATTATATGAGTATTTACCGATGTGAGGGCTTTCTGAGAGCCAATCAAGGCCATCAGTCCAGTCATGGCTGCCACCTTCAACAATGGAGGGCTCTCCTGGTAGAGAAAATACAAAGTGAAATTAAGGTTCATAAACCCTCTGCTCCCTCATATAAAATGTTTCTTTAACTCTTATAATTTTCCAAAGTAGATATATTTTCTAAGTAAAATTCAAACAATTATAGCATGGCTTGCGGGGCAAAATTTGACAAAAAAGACACTTCAATTTGGCAAATTTATAAAGGAATAATAGACATTCATGTCATTAAGAGTTAACTCTCTTATCAGAGTATCAATGTACCTTAAATAAATTCAATAGATCATACAAAGTTGTGTATCTCTTTTTTTATTTTTAAACAGTGGTATCTGACATTGTTGTATTAAAAGTCATAATGTTTACATAATATCAGTACATTAACAGGACTACTAATTTACAAAGAGAAGAGGGGGAAGCGGAAATAAAATGAATTAACAAAGTGAAACAAATACAAAGATAAAAGCTGATAGAAATCCTGTGATAAAAGGCTTATCATCTCTTCAGCTAGCAATGTACACCTCCTAGCAGCCTACTCGAGAGCCGTCTCTCATATACAAACAATACAACACCTTCCATATCAATATTTACATAACATGAATTCTTTTTAATCATACTTCATATGATTACTGCATCAAATCTGATGGGAAAACCCCATATTGTGCAAAAAATAGATCATTGTTTGTAACTAATAACCTATCTTTATTGATGATCAAACTTTCTTTTAGGCATGCAACTTTTTTTTCCAGAGATAAAACTATAATGAATGATAACCTTGATCACATATAACCTTGAATCACCACCATGAAAATATTTATCTGTATACAACTTAATATCAAAAGAATATTTCATTGAGAATAATCATTTGTGTCAGTTAAATCATTTCCTACACAAGGACTTCTGGGAAATCAAGCATTGCCCCACTGAATGTTTATTATTTCACTAACAATTCGTGGCACCAGGGAATCAAAGATCACAACTTGAATTTGTTTAATTTGGCTTAGTTTACATTTAATTTTTACTTTTTTTTAAACAATTATCATTAATAAATAATTTTACTAAGACAGCTTTTTGACATGCATTTGAAGGTTTTCTCTAACAAGGCACCTATAGACTTTAACAGTTACCTGTAGTGAGTATAATACAACATGTCACAGGGTCCATAGAAAGCAATTTATTTAGAAATCTAAACAATTTATCTAAAATAAACTGATGCCCCCCAAAACAAGAGAAATCGGATACTCAGGGATCAACAAAATAGTCCACTCATAGCTAGGTAACAAATGAGTCTGCTACATGTAGCTAAATGTGTTCTATAAATACTTCAACTTTTGGAATTTTAAAGGATTTTACAGGATGTGGTAAAATGATGCATTTCACGACATGACAATTAATACATTGACTAGATAGAAAATTATGTCATATTCAACAGATACATGGTCACCTTGGGTCCATGCAAGTGATAAATACTGCATTTTCAACCAAATTTGAGCAGTTATGATTTTTTGGAAAAATAAAAACCCTAAGTGGCCCTTGATCTTTATATATAAATATCCAAATCTTATAAGTTTCAACACTTTTTCAGTTTTTCAATAAAAATCTTTTACATACACACTTTTTTTTTCATGTACTAAACTCCAAATTAGTGCAATCTATGGCATCTATTCTTGAGCTATTTCTCAGAGCTTTTCATGATGCATTTCTAATTATATTTATTTTACAGTGCTAATTAATAGCCATTCTCTGTAACCACTTAAACTTCGTTGCCACGCATGGTCACCGATTTTGATGAAACTTCACCCATGCTTAGTACTTGACACCAGAAACAAATATCAAACAAAATTTCGTTGCTATGTGTCTCGGTTGCTATGGCAACAGCCGGAAAAGTTTGAAAAACAGATTTTCAGCCACTTTAAATGTTGACTGTGGCTTAATAAAAACTAGAAAAAGCAAACAAATCATTCCCACAAAAACATGACACCTCGATGTCACTTATACTGTAAAGAAACTGTTTAGAATATATCTCTAAGTAAGTGGTAACCAAGGGTACATTTGGAATACATTTAAAATGCTGAAATATGCTGAAAAACACTCCGTATTCACTAATGGTAGGTGTTACAATTGCTCAAACTCAATCAACTTCTTAAGAAAAACAATGAAAATGTTTGACCTTAAGTATATAAGTATAGGCAATATTATTCTATAAATAACTTTAATGGTTGCCATGGTAACACAGTGTAACCATGCAAAACCAGTAACTAAGTTTGGGTTAATGCTACTGTCTTGAGGAAAAACATGAAAATTCAAGATTGGCAAATATGCATCCTTAGGACACACCAAAACCATAAGAAAAATTGGGTATAATTGCTACTTTGCAGTGTTACCATAGAAACAAAGTACCAGTGCTTACAAGTGAATTATTTTTCGCTGCTTTAAGATTTAAATTGCCATATAATCAAGAAACAAATTAAAGGACTCAGCTTGAATCGTACTTATCTGTTAGAACTGAAGTTGAATATCATATATTGATAAAATTTGATGAAGAAAACAACACTGTTGCTATGGTAACCAAGAAGGGAAAATGTTCGATTTTGTGAACTTTATATCAATATTAAACCCTGTGTGCCAACTTCTTGCATCCACTTAGAGATTGGATGATAGTCAAAATTAAAAGTCAGGTTAGCTGTTAATAAATATCAATCATAAAAGTTTTGGGAATCTACATTTATAACGTATCCAAGGACAGAAAATATTTTTCAGGTTTTTAAGCATATATTTTCTGCTTACAGCAACGCTCTATTTAAAGAATCTAATCTGATTTTTTTCAAATGGGAAAACTAGGAGCACACCAACAGCTTTAAAAATTGATCATTAGTTATGAGAAAATGTGCTTTTTTAAAAGATAGGACAAACATACAGAGTGTTACTTTGAAGTCTCTCTGTGGTATAAAAAACCTTGGCAACCATTGCCAACCAAAATGAAATATCATATTTTGTTCTTGGTATATGTTTCAAGGCTCTTTTTTTCTATCATTTGGTTACATTTCATCCTATAATTGCTTTTTTATTTTTACATGTATGACTTTATAAAATTCAATGAATATTTTTTTTCTTTTGAATACTTTGTTACCATAGTAACGTATGTAATAGCTGATTTACCAAACATGTTTGTCATGCATTTGAGACATCTGACCTTCAACGTTTGGAAACAGTCATTGCCAATTGTTTGCTTTGCCGCAAATGTTAATTATGGGGCTCTAAACATGTTAAAAAATGCCATTTTCCGAACTTTAAGACACGTTGCCATGGTAACTATAAAACATAGCAACCAATTTTTGCCTGATTTCAGTTTAGGGTATCAAAGACTTTTATAATAGAGAGTTTGGAGAAATTCTGAGACTATGCGTGCCACAGCTCCTATATAAAAGTTCAAGTCATTACAGAGAATGGCTCTTAATTAATGGTCAGATATGTATGGTTAAGAAAAAAAACTGTATATCAATAATAAACATATTAACAACTGAAATATAATTATATAAATTTATAAACACTATAATAAGAGTACATTAGTAAGTGTAATATGGTTCCCATTAAAAACTGAAAATGCCATAATTCAATCAAAAACTTGTTGAAGGGTAATATAATGCAAACTTTTATTTGTTTTCTAAAATTCAGCTCAATACCTGCAAGCATTTACTAAAGAGTGAAATTCCAAAAGGGACAAACTGACAGAAGGACAGAGAGAGCGATGGACAGAAAAGGAGGAAACCTATATTACCCTCTAGTTTCACCAGTAAGGGACTAAATATTTAAATAGAAACAAAGTCAACAAGACATATACGAGGGCTGTTCGGAAATTATTTATACATTTACTCTAACTCTATAAAGAGCAGAGATAAATTCAGGAAAATTCATCAACATTTTAGAAAGAAAGAATAGAACAAATATGCAAAATTTCTAATTTATAGGATAATTAGATACGGTCTAGTGAAATTATAAACATGCATGCATATTTCTATCGACCTGGAGCAGCATGCTCCGTTACGTCAGCCGGAGATATTTTCGCATGTGAAACGATCGGGAAGTGTTTACTTTTTCTTTGTTATTATATATAACATTACAAAAATCAAACTTTCTCTTTTCTTAAATGATTCTTCAAAAGTGTGTGCTGTTACTTCACCAGTGTAAAATTTTTATTTGTCATATATAGAGGATGACTTTGCATCATGCAGTGCCGATTTACGCAACACGGATCAACGTTATTGATTACGTTAAGTCAAAATTGATGGTCGTCCAGAGCTTCCGATTTTACTCTAGTTGAATTATTGGTCAGAAAAAAATAAACTAATGAAACTCAACCCTTAAACAATTGTTTTGCAGTCTTCTTGTTATTGTTTTATTAGGTTGGTCAGTCTGGAAAAGAGTTTTAAATAGAGCTATTTAAAAGATTTTAATTCTCTCGCTGCTCCAACTTGACGTCAAATTCCATTTTTTCGTCATTATCAGAATTCTTTACTGCGCGTAATTTTTTAAATGATCTCCATATTTCAGATCAGAATTCTAACAAATTTACAAAACATGAAGTCAAAATAAAATTGAAAATTATAAACATAAATTGAATTATTATCGCCTTTATTATGGGTCCACGGGGGTTTAAACGTTGATGTTACATATTTTAAATATTTGATTTCGTGACACTACCATTGACACATTTATAGACCATTGAAGAAAAGAAATTCAATATTTGTGAAATATTTTTTGCTTTTATGAATTCCTAGTGTTTGTCAAACGTATATGCGAATTTTCACCGAAAGACGTTAATTAGAAAGAAAAATATACACGATGTCTCAATAACACAGCCCTCATACTAATGAATAGAAAATCTACCCTAATATAAATTAAAAGACAGAATACTATATAATCTAAGGATTATATTGTCACCCTGTGTTATTTTAGCCCTTTTCCACTTGTGAACAATTTTGCCCAGTCATTACATGTACGTCATAAGTACATTTACTTATGTAGACAGATTCTCATTTCTCTGCTAATTAATGGTCAGATACGTATTGGTTAAGATAAAAAAAAATCTGTATATCAGTAAGTAAACATATTAACAACTGAAATATAATTATATAAATTTATATGCACTATAACAGTACATTAGTGTTATTTTAGTTCCCATTAAAAATTGAAATGCCATACTCTAATCAAAAACTTGTTGAAGGGGAATATAATGCAAATTACTGTATAAAGGATTATATTTTCACCCTGTATTATTTTTGCCCTTTTGCACTTGTGAACAATTCTGCCCAGTTATAAATTTACACAGATTTTTAAAATTTGTCCAACTATAAAAAATGGGCAAAAATTTCCCTGTATACAGTAATTATCACAAAGACTGATAAAGAGGAAATCTATCCCTCTGCAAAGTACAAGAATAATTACCACAGACTAATAAAGGGGAAATTTATCCTCCTGAAAACTGCAGAACAGAATAGTTACAATGACACACAGACTGATGAAGAGGAAATCAACTCTCCTGTAAACTGCAGAACAGAATAGTTTACAATGACACATAGACTGATGAAGAGAGAATCTACCCTCTTGTAGTAAACTGCAGAACAGAATAGTTACAATATCACACAGACTGATGAAGAGGAAAGAATGACTGCACTTAAGCTATGAGAGTTGGATCCCAATGATTTGCGCAAAATAAAATTCCAAAATTCATTAAATTTATGTTATATGGGTATTAAACAATATCTTAAGAGCAGGTTTTGGTTTATTATATTACATGAAAGTATTAAATAATGCCGAGCGACACTAGCTTTTGAAACAGGGGTCTAACAGTTTTGTCTCATTTCTATTGTTATTCATATGCATACCAGTTTTCAACGACATTGTTTACATCGAGCCGCAACTTGACCATTTTTCTCATTTGCACAGAATGTGTATTTTAACTAAAACTTATACATATCCGAAGGACAATGTTGGTCAAGTTGCGGCTCATATCTAATTTTTTAAAAAATGTACCCAAACTTCGCTCGAGATAGCTACTAAATTAGCAGGTTACGAGTTTAAGCCCATGTGACCCCTTTGATATTATAATCACTTTTCTCACGTGACATTCAAGTGTTCGACACGCTTTCGTTGTGTCAGTCGTTGGAAAATTCTTTTCATATCTACATGTACTTCCATCTTCAAAATATTGAAGATCCTTGCGTACATTTTATTAGCGTTTTAAAGTTTACGTTGATTTCTTTCACTATAGTGTTTTTGTTCGAGGTATTTTAAAGAAAAAAGGTATTATTTTGCTGATTACATGCTGTACATATAGCAGTGACGGATCCAGAAATTTGAAAACGGGAGCCCGACCAGTTTTAGGTCAGGGTAGAAGCCCACAGTCATCATTAAAAAAACTATTTTTTTTATTTTATTTTTACGTTACTAATAAGTCCACAATTATTATTCAATACGATTAAGTTAAAGTGAAAATGTCATTTTTTTTTTAATACACTGTAGGTACGAACACTTAATGATTTTAAGATTTAGTTAATTCGCTGCTTGACAGCAAATAATACATGAGCAGTGAAATTTTAAGCATTCCAATTTTATAAGAACGTTAGATAGAGAAAAATATGCAGTGCTTGATAATGTAGAAGCCGAAATTCATTTTTTTAAATGCATTGTCCTTTGTACTCTGAATACCGATCAAAACTTTTTTTGAAAATTAACTCTGCCAATAATCAAATGGCAAGGTCATATATGGATTTACTGTGTGTACTTATTTCAGATTATCCTATAGACAGGTTGCAAATTATTTTTCATTTATGCGAAGAGAGCCCATTATGTTCAGAAAATAAAATGTATTTCAGTGTCATTTTCATCTACCAATAATTCTCAAAACAGGCACTACCAACCTAAGCGTACAAAATGCATACATATGTTTATCACAATTGTGATTATTTTTATGAACTTTTTGTTTTTTCTCTTAATATTCTGCTCTTTACTTACTAACTCTACTTACTTACGTTGATACAAATCAATGAAATTATATGCATGGTTATTAATCATTTCTTTTTTGTACAAAATGAACACAAAACCCTCTTCTCGGTCTCTTTTTTTATATATATATAATATAAATCAAATACGGAAAACCATGCGCTTATGATCCATTTCCATGCGATTTAAATGTCTCCGCCCCTGTGCTGCGACCTTAAAATCGAAAGCGGTCCAGTTCAATTTTCCGGAATTTATGGGTTAAACATGTTCTTTTCAATAGCGTTTTATGTAATTATTGAAATATGTATGACGAAAAATTATAGAAATAAATGTCAAAAGCATATGCTTGCACATTAATCATAGATTAATTCAACGATTTATTGTAACGTTAAGCTTCAAATGGGTAGCCGAAAAGGTTCCAAATAACGTCCTTAAGTGCAGTCATTCTTTATCCTCTTGTAAACTACAGGACAGAATAGTTACAATGACACACAGACTGATGAAGAGGAAATCAACTCTCCTGTAAACTACAGGACAGAATTGTTACCTAGACATATACAGAAGACCATGAATGTGCTAAAATGATCTTGCAGCAGGATAAAGATAATATGCTTAGTTTTCAGAAAGACATCAATTTTGTAAACATACAAGTATTATTCTTAAGAATGTGTATTAAAGAGCAAGAGCCACTTAGGGCCTTTTTGGCCCTTAGAATTTCTTAAAAATCAAAACTGCTCAGTTAAGGTTGAAAATGCAGTATTTATAACTTGGACTGTTGGTGACCATGTATCTATTGAACATGACACTAGTTTCCCTTTAGTCAATACATTTTGATGTCATAAAATGTGTCATTTTCCCAATACCCTGTGAATTTGATTGAAAATGTCCTAAAATTGAATCATTTTTTTCAATATTTCAAATAGAGCACAACCTCTGACCCAAAATATGCAGTTACATAATGAAAGATCTATTTCTGAAGATTAAAGAACATGTTTTAATTTTTAGATTGTGGGCTGTGCTTATATTTTAATTCTTTGCTTAAGGTAGTCATATAATTGCCTGTTTTTTGCAAAATAAAAAAATGCATTTTCACAAAGCCTGTTTTCCAATACTTTGATTCTAAAAAAGATATATATTATAGGAAATGAAGGCACTAAGTCTCTACTTTATTTTGACATATGAAATGGGAAAAAGTGTAATTGTTTATCAATTAATATAAAGGCAGATCCATTTTATGCATAAAGTGAACCTAGCTCTTTAAGCTTTCATATTTACTGAGGAAGTCAGGTTCTTTGTCCACGTTTGGTGCAGCTGTACTTGGAAGTCAGTAATTCCTGTTATCCCAGCTCTGGTTAGGTTGTACAAAAGTGTTCCAGCAGCCATGGCAATTCCTGCACTCTGTATTAACAAGGAAATGAGCAACATCACATCTGCATTTTAAAAACACCATCCCCAGTGTACTTACAGTGTTCATTACCTAGTATGGGACCTCCCCAGATTCCAGATGATACTGTCTACAATAGACAGTACTTTGTTTATTACCTGTGGAGCATCCCCCATATTGATGGTGATAATGTCAACAGTAGACAGTACTTTGTTAATTACCAGTGGAGTCTCCCCCAGATCCCTGATGATTTTGTCTATAGTATAAAGTACTTTATTACCTGTGGAGACTCTCCCAGATCCCTGAAGATACTGTCTACAGTAGACAGTACTTTGTTTTAATTACCTGTGGAGCCTCCCCCAGATCCCTGATGACTTTGTCTACAGTAGACAGTACTTTGTTTATTACCTGTCGAGCCTCCCCCAGATCCCTGATGACTTTGCCTACAGTAGACAGTACTTTGTTTATTACCTGTCGAGCCTCCCCCAGATCCCTGATGACTTTGTCTACAGTAGACAGTACTTTGTTTTAATTACCTGTGGAGCCTCACCCAGATCCCTGCTGACTTTGTCTACAGTAGACAGTACTTTGTTTATTACCTGTCGAGCCTCCCCCAGATCCCTGCTGACTTTGTTTACAGTAGACAGTACTTTGTTTATTACCTGTCGAGCCTCCCCCAGATCCCTGATGACTTTGTCTACAGTAGACAGTACTTTGTTTTAATTACCTGTGGAGCCTAGCCCATATCCCTGATGACTTTGTTTACAGTAGACAGTACTTTGTTTATTACCCGTGGAACCTCCCCCAGATCCCTGATTATGCTGTCTACAGAACAGAGTACTTTGTTTATTACCTGTGGAGCCTCCCCCAGATCTCTGATGACTTTGTTTACAGTAGACAGTACTTTGTTTATTACCCGTGGAGCCTCCCCCGATCCCTGATGACTTTGTTTACAGTAGACAGTACTTTGTTTATTACCTGTGGAGCTTCCCCCAGATCCCTGCTGACTTTGTTTACAGTAGACAGTACTTTGTTTATTACCTTTGGAGCCTCCCCCTGATCCCTGAAGATGCTGTCTACGGTAGACAGTACTTTGTTTATTACCTGTGCAGCGTCCCCCAGAACCCTGATGACTTTGTCTACAGTAGACAGTACTTTGTTTATTACCCGTGGAACCTCCCCAAGATCCCTGATAATGCTGTCTACAGTAGATAGTACTTTGTTTATTACCTGTGGAGCCTCCCCCATATCCCTGATGACTTTGTTTACAGTAGACAGTACTTTGTTTATTACCCATGGAGCCTCCCCTAGATCCCTGATGACTTTGTTTACAGTAGACAGTACTTTGTTTATTACCCGTGGAACCTCCCCCAGATCCCTGATGACTTTGTATACAGTAGACAGTACTTTGTTTATTACCTGTGGAGCCTCCCCCAGATCCCTGATGACTTTGTCTACAGTAGACAGTACTTTGTTTTAATTACCTGTGGAGCCTCACCCAGATCCCTGCTGACTTTGTCTACAGTAGACAGTACTTTGTTTATTACCTGTCGAGCCTCCCCCAGATCCCTGCTGACTTTGTTTACAGTAGACAGTACTTTGTTTATTACCTGTCGAGCCTCCCCCAGATCCCTGATGACTTTGTCTACAGTAGACAGTACTTTGTTTTAATTACCTGTGGAGCCTAGCCCATATCCCTGATGACTTTGTTTACAGTAGACAGTACTTTGTTTATTACCCGTGGAACCTCCCCCAGATCCCTGATTATGCTGTCTACAGAACAGAGTACTTTGTTAATTACCCGTGGAGCCTCCCCCAGATCTCTGATGACTTTGTTTACAGTAGACAGTACTTTGTTTATTACCCGTGGAGCCTCCCCCGATCCCTGATGACTTTGTTTACAGTAGACAGTACTTTGTTTATTACCTGTGGAGCTTCCCCCAGATCCCTGCTGACTTTGTTTACAGTAGACAGTACTTTGTTTATTACCTTTGGAGCCTCCCCCTGATCCCTGAAGATGCTGTCTACGGTAGACAGTACTTTGTTTATTACCTGTGCAGCGTCCCCCAGAACCCTGATGACTTTGTCTACAGTAGATAGTACTTTGTTTATTACCCGTGGAACCTCCCCAAGATCCCTGATAATGCTGTCTACAGTAGACAGTACTTTGTTTATTACCTGTGGAGCCTCCCCCATATCCCTGATGACTTTGTTTACAGTAGACAGTACTTTGTTTATTACCCATGGAGCCTCCCCTAGATCCCTGATGACTTTGTTTACAGTAGACAGTACTTTGTTTATTACCCGTGGAACCTCCCCCAGATCCCTGATTATGCTGTCTACAATAGACAGTACTTTGTTTATTACCTGGGGAGCCTCCCCCATATCCCTGATGACTCTGTTTACAGTAGACAGTACTTTGTTTATTACCTGTGGAACCTCCCCCCGATCCCTGATTATGCTGTCTACAGTAGATAGTAATTTGTTAATTACCCGTGGAGCCTCCCCCAGATCTCTGATGACTTTGTTTACAGTAGACAGTACTTTGTTTATTACCCATGGAGCCTCCCCTAGATCCCTGATGACTTCGTTTACAGTAGACAGTACTTTGTTTATTACCTGTGGAGCCTCCCCGAGATCCCTGATGATGCTGTCTACAGTGGACAGTACAGTAAAACTTCTCTAAACCGGCCAGCTGCCGGACTGAATGAAATGGCCGGACTAAAGGGATGGCTGGTTTCCTGAGAATCTAACATATTGAAGAATTGCAGAACTATATGTGACAGATGCTAGGAAAAATATATAATTGGTGTCTGTTATAATTATCTGTCATTATGTTACAGTATTAATTATTGGGAGACACCTAATGTATTCTTAAGGTCTAAAAAAATGTAAATTATTATTGTGAGGATAAATTCGACTATACATGTTGATTTTTATAAAAAGAAATTCAAAATAAGAACAGATACATCATGGAAAGTTACTTTTATTAACCACATGCAAAGAAATAAATCAGACCCTTTACCTTAACTAGACTCTATAAAGTATACTGCATGTATCTGTCTATCACTTACGTCATTAAAAAAATTGTTTGTACTTCAGTGGAAAGTAAATAATTAAAACATATCTGAGCAAAACTTCTGTTATTTTAATTATGAAATGTATATTTTGATAAACATTTTACCTTATTTTTTTCCTAGCATTTTTTAACAGTAAAGCTGTTTATGTGTATTTTAAAAAAGATGATGCAATATGGTAGGGGTGGGACGATATACAGATCTTGTGATACGATACATATCTTGATACATTAGCATGATACGATATGTATCTCAATATTATGATAAATTATAAAACTATTTAAAAGAATTAGCATTTTATTTCTTTTTTGTCTTGACATTAAACCAACAAAATATTCTATATCAAATCATGTGTGCTTTGAAATTAATACTAGAAGTTTCATTGATTAAAACTATGCAAAAACAATAATACATGTACCGGGTACATATTATTATTACCAAATTACTATTAATTAAGAAGTTGTTTACAGATAGTTGTGTAGTTCATCAGAGAACACTGATTAAAAATTTATTTAGAAAACATCACATTTACATTATTATTAATTGCTGAAAGTCTGTAGCCAAGCTGAGATTACAAAAAAAAGTACAAGATAGACTAGGCCGGAATTAAAAATATCTTTGTTTCCCCTAACCCGACCCTAAATTCTCAAGCTGGTTAGGTAGGTAGGTAAACAATTTTTTTTTTCTAACAGCAGCTTTGAAAATAAATACTAAAATTTAATGGAAAATTACCTTTTATAAATAAGAAAAGTACAAAAGAAAGCAAATTGTGCACAAAATGCTAAGTATCATATTCCATTCAAAAGCAAAATTCATTATTAAATTAATTCAATACTGTTATTCAGTTGAACGTGTGAAATATCTCACGATGGCATAGTACATAACTTATGTAAATCGAATAAAAAAATTCTCAAATACGCAAAGACCGAACATCCAAGTACATGTATATTTTTTCAAACCTTCAGCCTCAAGTGCTTATAGACAATCAATGTACTTTTTTGAGGGCCATGAGATTTGCAGTGGTTCTAGAGCATTTTGCTTTGGAGTTAAGAAATAAGTGGCTAATTTTAAGTCGCAGGTTCAAATCCCAATGAGGAATGTTGAATACGGTCCTTCAAAAGGGACCATAAAAACTTATGTCCAGTGTCACAGACGATGCTGGCTCAAAAAGATCCCCCATTGCTTAATGGCAAAAAGGTGATGATTACGTCTAAATTTGAGCAATGGGGAAATGTTCAAATGTCGTCCCAACAAATCTCAAAGAGATTAAAAGCAAAGAAAGAACCAATCGTACAGGACATAATTAAAGAAATATAAACTGGACCTCTCAGGAATTTGAATCATGATTTCAAAACTATTTGGAAAGAGTATGTAAACAATATTTAATTGAACCAAACCGAATTTACAAATGATAAAAATGCTATATACAATGTCGACCCCTACTATTGTTATTGTGATTTAAATTCAAGACACGTGGTTTAGGTTGACCCATTCAAAGGTTATAGGATGGAAGAACCGGTTATAAATAAAATTGTCAGTAAACAGGAAATTGGTATAGTCTGTTTGAATACCGTCTGTATGTGTTTTCAGACCTTTCTGAAAGACTTTCATGATTTTCAACAGCAAATGGTGGCTAAAGGGGGGTGGGGGGTTTAAATAACAATTTATCTTACCATAATTTCCGGCAAAAATTATAGCACACTTGCGACCGATACGCTGGAAAATATGTGTAATATCATCTACACCAGTATGACAAACCTTTGTTTGCCTTATATGGCTATTGTTATTAATACACACAAAGGATCTTACCACGAGCAAATGACAAATCTTTGAAAAGCAACGTTTACGCCAAATACATGTTTACATTTTAGTTCGAACACGTGGTTCAGGTCAATCTATGATCATGTCAATGGAGAGCAAAATTTTAAAAAAAATGTTCTTATGAACAAAATACAAAGATTAAAAAGTATGAAATATGTCACGGGCGTTTTTAATCTTTTGTTGATCAGACAAAAATATGTTTAATAAAATGTACTTTGTGTCAAGTTCAGAACACTAGGGCTTCAACAAGGGTAAAGAAAACGAGCAGCATCTCTTATGCATTTAAACGGACAAAACAGTTTTTACATAACTATACTCGTCGGGGAATCCAACTGACAATTGTAATCACCGATAGTACAACACAAGAATTAATAGAGAGGCAAATCGCTTTCAATTGCAGCGTGACTTTGAGAACCCTAGAATTCCGCCGTTTATTTAACAAATGAATTGTTTGTCATTGTTAGCATGAAAATAATAAACAATTTTTAAAAAAATGCTTTTCATTTATGAAATGGATGGAAAAATGGTCTTTGTGCCTTTCCGATCGCCATACGATTTTCCTTTTCTTTCAAGCGTAAAATTCCTGTAGTATTCGTAGTAACCCATAATGCAATTCTCATTCAGCTGATTTGTCAGTTATAGTCATGTTGGTGCCTCATTTGCTAATCTGATGCCAAAAAATATAGTCCGGGTTCCCGTGCAAGAATATTTGTCCTAAAAGAAATTTTAATCCATGACTGCAGAAATTGTAAAATAGAGAATACTTATTTAAGTTTGAATGAATTCAAGAGAGATCGATTGAAGTACATTTCTACAGATATTATAGGGTGGTGAAAACTGAAACGCAACATAACTTTTCTGTTTACCATGTCTCCACGTGCAAGTCTCTTCCTAGCCACATTTCCGTGAATAATTTACCCTATCTCGCTGTAGTCTCGCTAACTCTCGCCAGAGCCACTACCAGAGCTACTCTGAACTCATCGGGTTTTATAATGTGCAGAACACCGAAAAATAAAAGGTTCCGAACACATTAGTAGGGGTGTGTCATAGTCACGAAGTTTAACCCATAAATAAAAGCATGAAGAAAGGACATCTGATTTATTTTTATCAGGATGAATATGCTGACATATTTAAAACAACTCCTATGGTTCCATAATGGCATATAGTAAACATAGGAACATAGATGAACTGGTTATTAGATCAAAACTCTAAATAAGATGCAGTGAAATTGAATGATCTGCTCATGAGGCGGGCCATACCATGTATTACATACCATAAATTCAACGGACAGGTTTGTTTGTTGTTTAACGTCCCTTTCGAACATTTATTCACTCACATGGAGACGCCAAGACACCTCCGAAACACTCTTAATTAGTCACGGTAAATTCTATCATCAAATTGTTTCAAGAATGAAGAAGTCTAATTAGCTAAAGGCATAAGATTGAGACGTCGCCGTTGTTTTATGAAGAACTTATTCTCTGTAATCACATCTGGGCGCCATTTTGTTTCCAACAAATGCTTGAAAATCACAGTAGAACAACGTTGGCCCATTTGATAAACACTGATTTTGATGAAATTGTATTTTATAAAACTTGGTTAAGAATAGAAAAAAATTGAATCTTCTTATTTAAAAATCTTTTCAGTCAGCGCGATTTAATTGGGTTGGTCGCTTTACGGGAAACAAAGTTATTTTTTATTTTGGCCCTAACAATTAATAATATCAAATGTTCTGGAAACGATACTTTCTGTGTATAACACACATTACATACTGAACTTTTCTTGTCCAATCTTCCAAGGCTGCTTAAAAGTGAAAAAAGTTTTACCCCTAACTAACGACTTATTAGTTCTAAAGTGTGTTTTCAATATCAACATCATCTCTTCACTTCGTACAAGCCACCATTTTCCAAGGACAGGTACTTTCATTTTCAATTTTTGATAGGTCGTTCGTGTATTGTTTCGTACCGATATTTGAATGCTTGTAAAGTAAACCGTATCTTGGACGAAAATATCGGAATGTATCGGTGTATCGGTATATCGTCCCACCCCTACAATATGGCATGCGATAATTTGTTGATTCATTCTGTGATTTAAATTCACTAGTTGCTTGATGTTTTGTGTACTCTAAATGAAATAGAAGATGAGTTTCATTTCATTTTACAATGTCTAATGGCCATTTCAGTTTTTCACACCTCTGACCTCTGGTGGGTAGGCTATTTTTCACACTTCCGGCCTGTCATTATTACCCCTCTGGCCAATGACAGTTAAATTTCTTGCAATCAAAAAGTGGCCAGTATGATGAGGGGAAATTTCCTATGTTTCTTAACTTTTGTTCTTGGAAAAGTGGCCGGTGTCCGGTTTTCAGGAGCGCCCAGTTTTATGAGAGTTTTTATGTGTAAAGAAGTTTGTATGTGTTAAGAAATGTTAAGAATTTTGCAGGGACTTATAAATTTGGCCTATGTTCAGGGAGAACCGGTTTGGAGAAGTTTCACTGTACTTTGTTTATTACCTGTGGAGCTTCCCCCAGATACCTGGTGATGCTGTCTACAGTAGATAGTACTTTGTTTATTACCTGTGGAGCCTCCCCTAGATCCCTGATGACTTTGTTTACAGTAGATAGTACTTTGTTTATTACCTGTGGAGCCTCCCCTAGATCCCTGAAGATGCTGTATACAGTAGATAATACTTTGTTAATTACCTGTGGTCTCTCCCAGATCCCTGATGACTTTGTTTACAGTAGACAATACTTTGTTAATTACCTGTGGTCTCTCCCAGATCCCTGATGACTTTGTCTATAGTAGATAGTACTTTGTTAATTATATGTGGTCTCTCTTAGATCACTGATGACTTTGTCTACAGTAGACAGTACTTTGTTTATTACTCATGAAGCCAATCCCAGATCCCTGATGATTTTGTCTACAGTAGAAAGTACTTTGTTATTTACCTGTGTAGCCTCACCCAGATCTTGATCTGTCTACAGTAGATGCTTGTTTATTACCTGTGGTCTCTCCCTGATCCCTGATGACTTTGTCTATATTAGATATACTTTGTTTATTACCCACTGATGAGCCTCCCTGATGACTTTGATGATCCTTGATGATGCTGTCTACAGTAGATAGTACTTTGTTTATTACCTGTGGAGCCTCCCCCAGATCCTTGATGACTTTGTCTACAGTTGACAGTACTTTGTCTGAGGACACTATGTTAGCACTAAAGGCAGCACTTTGGATTAATGCCAATCCAACACTGAGTACCTAGAAATATCAAAACAGTCTTATTAATAATAACAAAATTTTATTTAATCCCATGTTTACATATTTATCTTGTGGATATGGCTCATTGGATAATTTTATGATATCCCACAGTTGTGACATCACAATGGGTTTTGCATAAACGTGATGGTGTAAAATAAAGTGGAGTCCAGAATAAAAACAGTGTGGTTGTGTATGTCAAGCCCTTTCATCATTTATTCGTGAAATAAAAATATCTTTCAATTAGATATCGATATCTCTTTAACAAGGTTAAAAGAGATATCTTTCTTAATTAGTTAAAGATGTATCTCTTTAGATTTTCAAAAAGAGATATCTTTCTAAGCTAAAGAGATATATCTTTTAATGAAAGAGATATCTCTTTTCCAGTAATCCTTCAATTCTCCCCTTTAAAACAAAAGCCAAACAGGAAGTAAAGTCTCTGGAGTAATTTTGCTGTTATAAGAAAAAGACTGAGCATGTAATACCCAAAATAATATATATACTATGTAGAAAAAATGCTATAAATCCCTTGTTTGAAACAACAAATAATAATGGCAACTTCATTGATAAAAATGCTAAAAGTTTAATATTCTGGAAAAAGAAAGTTAGGCCATTCCAAGTTTTTTCTATGTTTAGTCTCCGCGTGCGCCTTGGTTTTTGACACTCCATATAAGAAAAAAACACACAACATCAGGAGTCCTGAATTGATTAATTTCGTCTAAATTTTTGAATTTTGTCAATTTCTCCGAATAATTCTGTACAGTAAGTTATACTGGGAGTATTTTAAGCATTTAATCCCTTGTTTTGCTTAAGAATAGATATTTCTTCTATTAAAGCAGTTTAGTTAGAGCAAATCATTTGAAGGGCATCATTTTTATGACTTTTAAGCCTGTGTTTTATGTTTTGGCTTGTGTGTTTTTTGCAAATAGGTAGGTAGGTTTTTGAAAGATGGGTGGACGCTAAACAGAGAAAAAACTTGGAATGATCTTAGCATAAAATCTCAAATGAAATGGACCAAATTTTCTAAGCTTATGAAATAATCAACCATTACTAATATGAAATCTAGACAACATTAAATTACTTGTCATGTTTAGTAAAGCTATAATGTGGAATATCATGAATATGTTGAAATTTAAAAATTCCTTTATGTACTTCCGTGAATAATATTGTTGTATTATTATGGTGTTATCTCTGAACGTCAAAGAGATATCTCTTTCACCTAGAGAGATATCTCATTTACTTTTGGAGATATCTTTCCAAGTTAAAGAGATATCTCTGAAAGTAAAAGAGATATCTCTCAAAGTGATGGCATAATACCAGACATTTAGTCAAACTATTTACCTGGTGAGCCATGTCTCCTGGTGAGGTGGAGTGTACCTGAAATTTGTCTAGAACAGTGAGAACATGTGCCCTCGCCTCAGTCTTGGAATTATTACAAAGGGCAGACACTGAGAGACCAAGGCCTAGGAGGCATCCACAACTGAAAAATCAACATAATAGGGGGGAAAACAAGAATATCAAAGAGTATAAATGGATCATTATGATTAATAAGGGAGGTACAAATAAGCAAACCTGTCATCTCCTCCAGTAAAACAAGCATCTTCCAACTTATCAAAAGTATTCCACATCTCTACAACCTCCTTCAAAAAAGCATAAATTTAACAGTTAACATTACAAAAAAACTTTAAGTGAAAACAAATTCAACAATTTCAAAGTCAAAGGTCACAGGGAAGGTCAAAGTAAAACAAAATGGATACAATTGACAGGTTCTCATTAGTATGATTAGGATCATCAGGGACTGGAACAGCCTCTCAGATCATTTCAAAGAAGCCAGTACCATTGGTGCTTCAAGAAGCAGCTCATGCAACTATGGCTGATTCCTATCACCCTACCATGCAGAACATAAGTTTTTAACTGTAAATAAGAGGATTTAAGCTGTGTTTGATGTGCTACTACACTCGATATGCAGGTCAGCACAGGATAGGAAGAAGAAGTATGTTTAAGTGTTTAGATAAAAATACCTTGACACTTTTTTTTTTAAATCTGAGCTTGATATACAATAGAACGTAAATCATTATGAAGACTAAGGTAAAAAAAGAATTGGAAACATTTGATGAATTCTCACCAAACTATCAAGGTCAAAGAAAAGGTCATGGTCAGAAACTTTTGAAGCAGCTGAAATTTCTCATCAAAATGTAACATCAGATGATGTTTGATAAAAATATCTTACATAGTTTTTTAAACTTAGCTATATGCAAAATGTAACAGATGAACAATCAGAAAGAAAAAAAGACAAAATGAATGGAAGATGGAAGACTAAAATGGCAAACACTTTATACTCCGGTCATATTTTTGTCGGGTCATATAACTGATTTAATCATCTTCAACTCAATGGGACCGAGATGAAAATGTTCTTTAAATTTTTATCAATTAATAAGCATTAGCTACAACCACATAAATTCAGAAATCACACGACATGCAATCAGCTCATGAAGGTAAACTTATTTAATTAAATACTGGACATATTGATCTCACTGACACATATCATGATAACTAGCTGTTGTTGATATTTTTTTTAATTGGAATTTAATTCCCAAATCAAATAATTTTAGCCACATTTGCATGGCCTGGCCTATTTGTTTGTTAACTTTATGGATCATGTAACAAATGAAGGACCTTGAAGGCTGTTGTTATTGGTTATTTACTCTCTAAAAAGTTCAACATGTTTTTCTTCTAATGCTGACATTACAAGTTCCTGATATGAAATGGATAAAGTTCAATTTGTTTTTTTGTACAGTCTGAGAGCAGTCAGTTGTTAACAACTTTCCAATGAAAAGGACAAAAGTGATTCATTATAAGTACATAAAAATATATATTCCTTATGGTTGTTTTGTGGCAAATTTGGTTATAGTATATGATGGCAATTACAAAGAAAATTTTCAGTTAGAAGAATAATCTTCAATCAATCTCCTTTGATCCTCAAGTTAGCTAAAACCCCTTAAATTCACTTCAACAGAAATCTGTTTTACGCTCCTACTGTTTCTTGGTTATCCCCTCGCACAGTTATCTCCTACTGTTTCTTGGTTATCCTCACAATCACTTATCTTCTACTGTTTCTTGGTTATCCCCTCCCATAGTTATCTCCTACCATTTCTTGGTTATCCCCTCCCACAGTTATCTCCTCCTGTTTCTTGGTTATCTCCACCCATAGTTATCTTCTACTGTTTCTTGGTTATCCCCTCCCACAGTTATCTTCTACTGTTTCTTGGTTATCCCCTCCCACAGTTATCTCCTACTGTTTCTTGGTTATCCTCACAATCAGTTATCTCCTACTGTTTCTTGGTTATTCCCACCAACAGTTATCTCTTACAGTTTCTTGGTTATCCCCTCCCATAGTTATCTTCTACTGTTCCTTGGTTATCCCCTCCCACAGTTATCTCTATCTGTTTCTTGGTTATCCCCTCCCACAGTTATCTTCTACTGTTTCATGGTTATCCCCACCCATAGTTATCTCCTACTGTTTCTTGGTTATCCCCTCCCACAGTTATCTCCTACTGTTTCTTGGTTATCCTCACAATCAGTTATCTCCTACTGTTTCTTGGTTATTCCCACCAACAGTTATCTCTTACAGTTTCTTGGTTATCCCCTCCCACAGTTATCTTCTACTGTTTCTTGGTTATCCCCTCCCACAGTTATCTCCTCCTGTTTCTTGGTTATCTCCACCCATAGTTATCTCCTACTGTTTCTTTGTTATCCCCACCCACAGTTATCTCCTCCTGTTTCTTGGTTACCCCCCCCCCCACAGTTATCTCTATCTGTTTCTTGGTTATCCTCACAATCAGTTATCTCCTACTGTTTCTTGGTTATTCCCACCAACAGTTATCTCTTACAGTTTCTTGGTTATCCCCTCCCAGAGTTATCTCCTACAGTTTCTTGGTTATTCCCACCCACAGTTATCTCTATCTGTTTCTTGGTTATCCCCTCCCATAGTTATCTCCTACTGTTTCTTGGTTATCCCCTCCCACAGTTATCTCCTACTGTTTCTTGGTTATCCCCTCCCACAGTTATCTCCTACTGTTTCTTGGTTACCCCCCCCCCCACAGTTATCTCTATCTGTTTCTTGGTTATCCCCTCCCATAGTTATCTCCTACTGTTTCTTGGTTATCCTCACAATCAGTTATCTCCTACTGTTTCTTTGTTATCCCCACCCATAGTTATCTCCTACTGTTTCTTGGTTATCCCCACCCACAGTTATCTCCTACTGTTTCTTGGTTATCTCCACCCATAGTTATCTTCTACTGTTTCTTGGTTATCCTCACAATCAGTTATCTCCTACTGTTTCTTTGTTATCCCCACCCATAGTTATCTTCTACTGTTTCTTGGTTATCCCCCCCACAGTTATCTCCTCCTGTTTCTTGGTTATCCCCTCCCACAGTTATCTCCTACAGTTTCTTGGTTATCCCCTCCCACACTTATCTTCTGTTTCTTGGTTATCCCCTCCCACAGTTATCTCCTTCAGTTGCTTGGTTATCCCCTCCCACAGTTATCTTCTACTGTTTCTTGGTTATTCCCACCCACAGTTATCTCCTACAGTTTCTTGGTTATTCCCACCCACAGTTATCTCCTACTGTTTCTTGGTTATCCCCACCCACAGTTATCTCCTACAGTTTCTTGGTTATCCTCTCCCATAGTTATCTCCTACTGTTTCTTTGTTATCCCCTCCCATAGTTATCTCCTACAGTTTCTTGGTTATCCCCTCCCATAGTTATCTCCTACTGTTTCTTGGTTATCCTCACCCATAGTTATCTCCTACTGTTTCTTTGTTATCCCCACCCATAGTTATCTCCTACAGTTTCTTGGTTATCCCCTCCCATAGTTATCTCCTACAGTTTCTTGGTTATCCTCACCCATAGTTATCTCCTACTGTTTCTTGGTTATCCTCACCAACAGGTATCTCCTACTGTTTCTTGGTTATCCCCTCCCATAGTTATCTCCTACTGTTTCTTGGTTATCCTCACCCATAGTTATCTCCTACTGTTTCTTTGTTATCCTCACCCATACTTATCTCCTACTGTTTCTTGGTTATCCTCACCAACAGTTATCTCCTCCTGTTTCTTGGTTATCCCCTCCCATAGTTATCTCCTACTGTTTCTTTGTTATCCCCTCCCATAGTTATCTCCTACTGTTTCTTGATTATCCTCACCAACAGGTATCTCCTACTGTTTCTTGGTTATCCCCTCCCATAGTTATCTCCTCCTGTTTCTTGGTTATCCCCACCCATAGTTATCTCCTACTTTTTCTTGGTTATCCTCACCAACAGTTATCGTCTACTTTTTCTTGGTTATCCCCACCCATAGTTATCTTCTACCCTTCCTTGGTTATCTCCTTCTGTTTCTTGGTTATTCTCACCCACAGTTATCTCATCCTGTTTCTTGGTTATCCTCACAATCAATTATCTCCTACTGTTTCTTTGTTATCCTAACAATCAGTTATCTCCTCCTGTTTCTTGGTTATTCTCATCCATAGTTATCTCCTACTGTTTCTTGGTTATCCTCACAATCAGTTATCTCCTACTGTTTCTTTGTTATCCCCACCCACAGTTATCTCCTACTGTTTCTTTGTTATCCCCACCCATAGTTATCTCCTACTGTTTCTTGGTTATCCCCACCCACAGTTATCTCCTACTGTTTCTTGGTTATCTCCACCCATAGTTATCTCCTACTGTTTCTTTGTTATCCTCACAATCAGTTATCTCCTACTGTTTATTGGTTATCCTCACAATCAGTTATCTCCTACTGTTTCTTTGTTATCCCCACCCATAGTTATCTTCTACTGTTTCTTGGTTATCCCCCCCCCCACAGTTATCTCCTCCTGTTTCTTGGTTATCCCCTCCCACAGTTATCTCCTACAGTTTCTTGGTTATCCCCTCCCACAGTTATCTTCTACTTTTTATTGGTTATCCCCTCCCACAGTTATCTCCTTCAGTTGCTTGGTTATCCCCTCCCACAGTTATCTTCTACTGTTTCTTGGTTATTCCCACCCACAGTTATCTCCTACAGTTTCTTGGTTATTCCCACCCACAGTTATCTCCTACTGTTTCTTGGTTATCCCCACCCACTGTTATCTCCTACAGTTTCATGGTTATCCTCTCCCATAGTTATCTCCTACTGTTTCTTTGTTATCCCCTCCCATAGTTATCTCCTACAGTTTCTTGGTTATCCCCTCCCATATTTATCTCCTACTGTTTCTTGGTTATCCTCACCCATAGTTATCTCCTACTGTTTCTTGGTTATCCTCACCCATAGTTATCTCCTACTGTTTCTTGCTTATCCTCACCAACAGGTATCTCCTACTGTTTCTTGGTTATCCCCTCCCATAGTTATCTCTATATGTTTCTTGGTTATCCTCACCCAGAGTTATCTCCTACTGTTTCCTGGTTATCCTCACCAACAGTTATCTCCTCCTGTTTCTTGGTTATTCCCTCCCATAGTTATCTCCTACTGTTTCTTTGTTATCCCCTCCCATAGTTATCTCCTACTGTTTCTTGGTTATCCTCACCAACAGGTATCTCCTACTGTTTCTTGTTATCCCCTCCCATAATTATCTCCTCCTGTTTCTTGGTTATCCCCACCCATAGTTATCTCCTACTTTTTCTTGGTTATCCTCACCAACAGTTATTGTCTACTTTTTCTTGGTTATCCCCACCCATAGTTATCTTCTACCCTTCCTTGGTTATCTCCTTCTGTTTCTTGGTTATTCTCACCCACAGTTATCTCATCCTGTTTCTTGGTTATCCTCACAATCAATTATCTCCTACTGTTTCTTTGTTATCCTAACAATCAGTTATCTCCTCCTGTTTCTTGGTTATTCTCATCCATAGTTATCTCCTACTGTTTCTTGGTTATCCTCACAATCAGTTATCTCCTACTGTTTCTTGGTTATCCTCACAATCAGTAATCTCCTACTGTTTCTTGGTTATCCTCACAATCAGTTATCTCCTACTGTTTCTTTGTTATCCCCACCCATAGTTATCTTCTACTGTTTCTTGGTTATCCCCCCCCACAGTTATCTCCTCCTGTTTCTTGGTTATCCCCTCCCACAGTTATCTCCTACAGTTTCTTGGTTATCCCCTCCAACAGTTATCTTCTACTGTTTCTTGGTTATCCCCTCCCACAGTTATCTCCTTCAGTTTCTTGGTTATCCCCTCCCACAGTTATCTTCTACTGTTTCTTGGTTATTCCCACCCACAGTTATCTCCTACAGTTTCTTGGTTATTCCCACCCACAGTTATCTCCTACTGTTTCTTGGTTATCCCCACCCAGAGTTATCTCCTACAGTTTCTTGGTTATCCCCTCCCATAGTTATCTCCTAGTGTTTCTTGGTTATCCCCTCCCACAGTTATCTCCTACAGTTTCTTGGTTATCCCCTCCCACAGTTATCTTCTACTGTTTCTTGGTTATCCCCCCCCTAAGTTATCTTCTCCTGTTCCTTGGTTATCCCCTCCCACAGTTATCTTCTACTGTTTCTTGGTTATCCCCTCCCATAGTTATCTCCTACTGTTTCTTGGTTATCCCCTCCCACAGTTATCTTCTACTGTTTCTTGGTTATCCCCACCCACAGTTATCTCCTACAGTTTCTTGGTTATCCTCTCCCATAGTTATCTCCTACTGTTTCTTTGTTATCCCCTCCCATAGTTATCTCCTACAGTTTCTTGGTTATCCCCTCCCAAAGTTATCTCCTACTGTTTCTTGGTTATCCTCACCCATAGTTATCTCCTACTGTTTCTTGGTTATCCTCACCCATAGTTATCTCCTACTGTTTCTTGGTTATCCTCACCAACAGGTATCTCCTACTGTTTCTTGGTTATCCCCTCCCATAGTTATCTCTATCTGTTTCTTGGTTATCCTCACCCATAGTTATCTCCTACTGTTTCTTGGTTATCCTCACCAACAGTTATCTCCCCCTGTTTCTTGGTTATCCCCTCCCATAGTTATCTCCTACTGTTTCTTTGTTATCCCCTCCCATAGTTATCTCCTACTGTTTCTTGGTTATCCTCACCAACAGGTATCTCCTACTGTTTCTTGGTTATCCCCTCCCATAGTTATCTCCTCCTGTTTTTTTGTTATCCCCACCCATAGTTATCTCCTACTTTTTCTTGGTTATCCTCACCAACAGTTATCGTCTACTTTTTCTTGGTTATCCCCACCCATAGTTATCTTCTACCCTTCCTTGGTTATCTCCTTCTGTTTCTTGGTTATTCTCACCCACAGTTATCTCATCCTGTTTCTTGGTTATCCTCACAATCAATTATCTCCTACTGTTTCTTTGTTATCCTAACAATCAGTTATCTCCTCCTGTTTCTTGGTTATTCTCATCCATAGTTATCTCCTACTG